TCCAAGCTGGACGGCTAACTTTTGAATACTTGTTTTGTAATTTTTCGATATAACGTAAGTTTATATAACTATTTTTTTGTAATAATATCTACTTTGTAACAAATCTAGAGAATCTGTAAACTTAATTTATGGATTATACAGAATGATTTAAGTACGTTCCGATAATAATGGGGGTGATTTCTCAGTTAATTCTAAGAATGTGAGTTGTTCTAATTCCTGAGTTACACTTGGTTTTTGCTTATACAGGGTGTTTTGGAAAAGGTACCTCAAATTCAGATAAATAGATAGATAGATAGTTTATTTGGCTATTTTACACAAGTACATGGTTTATAGCAAGTCAATACAAGAAAACAAAATGTATAGTTTGTATACACATAGCACACAGCGGTCAACAGTGAAGTGAATTAGAACACTAATAAATATAAATACAAAAGCACACAAAATACCAAAGATAGTCGAACTTTGCAGGACCCACATAATCTAGAAAATATTAGATTGATAATACTCATCTACAGAGTAAAAACAGTGAGATAAAAGACTTTTTTTAATATTTATCTTGAAGCATCCCTCATTCATATCCTTTATATGGCAGGTTAGTTTATTATATAATTTAATATTTAGAATATTTCTTTCCGATTTGACCAATCTGGATCGAGGTACAAGTAGATCACCCGCCACAGCAACTCGTGTATTATAATTATGGCGGTCAGACACCCGGGGAACGATATTCCTGCGAGCATGTATTTCCATTAAAGTTTGTAATATAAATATACAGGGCAGTGGTAATATACGAAATTTTTTTAACAGTGTTTTGCAATGTTCACTGTTACCCACGTTTGCTAAGATTCGCACTGCACGTTTCTGGAGACAAAAAATTTTTTTAAAATCAACTGCATTGCCCCACAAGACAGTGGCGTAGCTGATCAGAGGCTGATAGAACATAAAAAGTAAGGAGATTTTTCCTATGGATCATGAGTCTATTGTCTTTTCCGTAATGCATTGAAATTTGGTAGGGTTAGTTTTTGAGGTTTTTGGGTTTTTTTTTTTGCTAAATAGGTTACTGTAGTTAATTCTTGACCATCTACTAGAGGTCGGCGAGCTCTGGTCTTTTATGACATATTTTTTTTGAGATTAGGTTTGAGATTAATAGTAGAAGTCGTATATTACAACGTAATTTTTTTATATGAAAACGGTGCTCTTGTTAAAACCTTTGAAAACACACAATTTTTGAGAAAAGTGCAAATGAATGTTTCAAAGTCAATCAACTTCTATTCCTTAATATATGGGGTGTCCGGAATTTCCTGATTTAGATTAAGTTAACACAATTTTACTTACATGATAAGTTATCGGCCTTCAAAATAATTTTTTATTCCATTTTAATACCAACATCACTTTTTAAGAAAGAAAACTATTAAATATATTATTGATCCAAATTAAGTTTATTTTCATCTAAGGAAGTTGCCCTTGAAGTATGGTCCAGTCGTTTCCGGACCTTCTGTATATTACAGAGTAGAAGTTGGTTGACTTTGGGATAATCAATTGTTTTTCTCAAAAATAGTGAGCTTTCCGCAATATCAACAAGTACCTTTTTTATGTAAAATAAAACATGCATTGTAATATACAGGATGTTACAAATTAGTAGGTCAATCCCATAACCACATATTCTTTGGATTAAAATAATAGGACTTTTCTTATGTCACTTATGCGGCAAAACCGTAGTGGGTTCGAATCCCGCACGCGGCAGGAAAATTCGAAAGAATTTTCCTGTCGTACCATGGATGTTTGTGATTGTTAAGTTGGAGGGTAGTGTAAGTTAGCAGGCAAAAAGGGCCAAGCACGGCCTAATTGCTGGTAAGCTTCATGACCTTTTTTTTAAGCCCCAAATCAAAATATGTGGTTTAAGTCTAAAATGCTCATTATCTCGTACAATTCGTTTCTTTAACTATTGTTTAGTTAGTATTGGTACCATATAAAAGAAATTTTTCATAAAATCCCAAAAATTAAGGTCTAACGTCGACTAAATTGTTGTGTATCTAAAAAAGTTACAATATCTTGAGATCCAAATCAAAATCTTACAAGTGTGAAAAAAATAGAATAAAACATCGCTTTATCTAAAAAAAAAATTGGAAAACATAGGCGTAGTAAAAAAAAATAGGGGATCCATGGATACTGCAACCCCCCTCCCCTCCGTTCGCGCTTTGATATTTTAAACCAAAATTACATAAAAAGTGTGCCGATATATGTGTTAAATTTGAAACAAATATCTCTACAATCACCGAAGTTATCAATAAAAATCATTTTTTAAATTTTAATTTTGACACCCTGTATTTTGAAATTGGGGCTCCGAAATGAAAAGTGACACAAGAAAAGTCGCATTATTTTAGCCCAAAGAATATGTGGTTAGCTGCTTGACCTAGTAATTTGTAACACCCTGTATAATGTACACTGTAAAAATCCTAACCTCAAAAAAGTTGTCATAAAATGTCGCTAAGTAACGTCGTATCTAGCGACCCCTAGCAGATGGTCAAAAATTAATAATACGAATATATTTAGCATACTCAAAAACTTACCTGTGCCTAATTTCAATACATCACATTGTTTTTTAGGAAAAAATATAACTAAAATTTGATTTTAAAGGACCATTTTTGGCGTTTTGTATCTCAAAAACAAAAAACGATGGGAGAAAAACCTAAAAGAAACAATTTATTGAAATTGGATATGCTATAGTAGTTTATAAAAACCTTCATTTTTGACTAATCCAATAATGTTTTAAACGCCATGGGCGTAGGTAGCTGTATGTAACAGTGTATTTATTGAGAAAAAAATTGCACGCCACCAGTTTTTCAAGTTTTGAAGGCAAATCCTTAAAGTTATACGGACAGACGCCGTCAAAAGCCGACCCTATGGATATTGAGAAGCATTTTCAAGGTCAAATTTTTGTCAATGAGGAAAATGACGAATGAGGACGATATTATTCATTTATATGAAATTAATGATGATACCAGAAGTATATGAATTAAAATCGCTACCGTCGATAGTTGGTTATTAGTCGCATTGGAAAAACAGTTTTAGCCATTTTACTTGATCATGGTGAAAATATCAATTTTAAAAATTTTCTTCCACAAAGTTTAGTTAAGAGTTTTGCTTAGGATATTATTACAATTATTAATCTATTACACGGAATTTATACACTAACCTATTCATTCTTTGATATTTTATTAACATTATAGGGTCACTTATTCCTCAAAAAATAAATACTTCGATTTGAATAAATGTTTCAGATCAAATTACATACGAGGGAGAATACTGAAATGATGAACCATGAAATATCGTCATCAACAGATTGTCGTGAGAATTAAATTTTTGTTCATGGCAAGCCGTTCAAAATGCAAATTCATGTTTGGCAAATGACATCATAGAATACCATATGAGTAATATTGACAATTACAGCGAAGGATCACTTTGCTAGAGATTTATCTACGGTATAATAAATCTGAAGAAATTTTATAATAGGATATTGTTATATAATACATGTACTAATATAGTTTAGTTTGTACATTGCCAATGTCCATTCAATATAGAGAAATATGTATATGTATACTTTGTATTTTTTACTTTTATGTTTATTTGAATTTGAGTATTTAAATATCCGAATACAGTTTGATAATCCGAAAAAAGCGAGTGAAGATTATGAAAATTCATTACAAGTAAATAAAATAATAACTTACAATTAATTCATGACTGGACCATAAAAAATACTTTATTAGTTAATCCTAATAAAAGCCAAAACATTATTTTTGGAATATCAACTCAATTGCTAGGTCTGGAGCGTTTTAATTAACAATGAAAATATTCCTGCAGCCAATGTTGTTAGAAATCTTGGCCTGACTTTTCATTTACAGTTGACTTTTTCGAATCATGTAACCGTTATCTATGTAAGAAAACTTTCTTATCAATAAAACAGTTGCAATGCTTTAAAAAGTATCTAAATCCTCAGACCAAAATTTTACGTACTGAATCTTTAGTGTTATCTCATTTGAGTTATGGTGATGTTGTATATGGCCCCTGCCTTTCTCAAGAAAATAAACACCGTTTGCAAAAAATACAGACATGTTGCGTTCGTTTTATTGCGAATGTCCCCGAGTTTAGTCACATAACTGCATATTTACGTTCCTTCAATTTGTTGAGCATGTCTGAGAGGAGACTTATTCATTTTTTATACTCAACATTTTAAAGAATAACTAAACAGTTTAAAACTTCATTTTCGTATTTAGCTTCCTGTGTTATTAATAATTTACCCCTCCAGTATCACAATTTGTCAGTGACAACCGCTAAACATATGTTAAAAAATAATATACTTTTTTCTGATTTGGTACTCTTTGATGAAAGTAGGTTTTAGCTGTATTTAATTGCGTTTTGTGTTCATTCTTGTCCTTTTTATTGCTCTGTTTATTGTATTTATTTGATTTTAATCTGCTCTCTTTGCCATAGGATGTGTTGTAAATCAACTTTGTTGATACACCGTTCTTTTGTAAAAAAACGTTGTTTATACTTCTTTTTTGCAATAAATATATTATTATTAATAATATTAGTGTGATATTTAATATAATTGTCGTTTATAATATAAGCATATCCGGTATTGTTATAAATGTCATCAGATTATAAAATAAATGATTTATAAAGAAATGTATATAAATTATTTATTTTATAACCCGAAGAACCTCGTGTAAGCAGAATGAGCAGCATTGTTAACCCTACGGATTTATCTGTAGATCTATGGATCATTGATGATGATAATCTCAGATGATATGACTTTAGAAAGGCCGATTTTTTTTCTCCATTTTTTCCACAAACTGTACCTCGAAAACTATCAATTTGCGAACATATAATAACCTTTTTTAGTTACATATTAATATAAAACACAGCTTTGCAACTTTGCTTGTTGCAATTTCTGAATTACCACTTGTTATTATCAACATGCCAAATAAAAAGTGTCTTACCTCTCACTGGAGGATGATTATACGGCCGTTGTCTGCTTCCTATATACTGACCATGAATTGCTGAAATAAAGAATTGAAGGAAAATTAGTAACAATATAAAGACAACGTGCTGGAAAACTTACATTCAAATAAGATTGGTGTTAAACTCAACCATAATGCTGCAAGATGATGAAACATGGTTGGTAAGCAGACTTCCATTTAATGTCAATTAAACCTTCCTGAAACAATTAATCACTTGTAGTGTACAAGTCGGAGTTGTGTACGTGTGGATGGGAAGATTACATCTATAGCTTGACAGGTTGTTGATTAACATATTTTGTATTAACTAATTGAAAATATACATGTGGATATATATTTGGCCGACCCGTTAAACCAGAAACCAGAACGTACTTTTCCGAAGGATTTTGGTGCGCTGAATTTTTCGTCTTTGAAAAATCGCATGTTGAAATTTAGTAGTTTGACTTATTTCTCGATTTTTTAATATACTTACAATATAGCACCACAATCCTTATATGTTTATGGGCATAGCGTTTTTGGGCTTAGGGTTTATGAGTTGGGATTGAGCGTATCCAATTAAATGGGCCTTTAAATCGCAATTTTGATCAACTTGCCTGGATTTTTGATATAAGTTAGTTTGCGGTATAAGGGTGGCCAAATGAAAACGAAACGGAGCCATTTTCAGGAACTGCGTCAAAATTGTAAAAAACGCTCACACCCGTCGATTTTATATTAAAGGGGGACATTCTTTGCTGGTATTTTTGACTCCGCCACTTTCACCCCCAAGCAAGAGTAAGCATCACCCCAAAATATTTAAATGGCATTGGGGGTTGAGTAATATTTCTTTTGAAAGCTCTTACAATTCTCTTTACAACAGACTTTAAATTTTATAGTTCCGTCCAATATTTATTAAGAATTTTGATTTTAAAGTTGAAACTTATGTACAAACAATTAGTAAAAATGTCAGTCATTCGAGTTAAGTACGCCAATGGTATAAATTTAGTATTTCTCGCGTTACATTGATTTTTGGCGATTTGTTATCACTTTCGTAAAAAAAAACAATTGTAAAATACAGAAATGAATGCTATACACACACAATGAACGTAAAATTAGTGGATTCCAAATTATTTTCTAGTATTATTTGGAAGCGTTGGTTGGTAGTTTATTTAATTGTATTTTTGAAAATTAAACACTATGGTTTATTCCATTGCTGAAAGGGTAGATATCATTTCGCTTTACTTTATGAACAATAAATGTGCGAATAGAACAGCTCAGCTATTTAATGAACAACATCAAGATCGACATGTCAGGAGGAAGTATGTTCTAGAGTTAGTAAAAAAATTTCAAGAGACAGGGAACGTAGCCAATAAAAAACGAGAAATTGAAAAACCTATAGTTAATGAAGCTAGTGAAGTTGCAGTTTTGGGACAAGTTCATCTTGATCCTACATTAAGTACGAGGCAGCTGGCATCTGTGTCTGGGATCAATCGAACTAGCATACAAACCATTTTGAAGAAGAATAAATTCCATCCATACAAAATACATTTAGTCCAGGAACTTCATGAGGATGATTATGACCGCCGTTTGCAATTTTGCGAAATAATGAGTGAGCGAGCAGGGAACGATCCACAGTTCCTTTTTAACATCTGTTTTTCTGATGAATGCAGTTTTTTCTTGAACGGGACGGTAAATCGTCACAATTGCCGCTATTGGTCCGATTCAAACCCAAGAGTTTTTCACGAGGTGCATACACAGCAACCGGAAAAATTAAATGTATAGGCTGAAATTTTCGGTAACCGGCTGGTGGGTCCTTTTTTTATACCTGGTAATTTGACTGGCCAAATATATTTGCAATTACTGGAAGACGCTATTGACCCTGCCTTGACTGATATTATTGAAAACGTTCCAGAGTATGATGAAGATCATTTGATTTTTCAACAGGACGGTGCTCCTTCGCATTATGCGTTAATTGTCCGTCAGTATTTCGACCAACATTTTCTACGGAATTGAAGTGGGAGAAGAGGCAGCATTGAGTGGCTTCCACGATCATCGGATTTATCGACCCTTGATTTCTTTTTGTGGGGATACCTAAAAAGTAAAATCTATAAAACACAGCCAGCGTCGCTGGAAGATTTGCGTCAAAGAATCGTCGACAAATGCCGTCGATTCACTTTGGAAATGCTTCGGAATGTGCGCGAACGTTTCGAACAAAATCTTTATTCTTGTATGGAAGCGGGCGGTCATCAGTTTGAACATTTAATCAACAACAAGTAGTAAGTAAGCAACTAAACATAATTTAAATTTTAAAATGTAATTTTTTTTCAAAGTAATGGGCGGAATTATAAAATTTAAAGTCTGTTGTAAAGAGAATTGTAAGAGCTTTCAATATTTTGGGGTGATGCTTACTCTTGCTTGGGGGGTGAAAGTGGCGGAGTCAAAAATACCAGCAAAGAATGTCCCTCTTTAATCTAAAATCGACGGGTCTGAGCGTTTCTCTACAATCTTAACGCAGTTCCTGAAAATGGCTGTTTCGTTTTCATTTGGCCACCCTGTATAATAACAATAAGTGACAGTAATTTTTTTTTCAACCCAGGGGTGAAAAAAGATAAAATATAGGGGTTTTTCAATATAACTCAAAGGAGGTAAGAGCTAGAAAAACAATTTCTTATGAAAGTTGTAGACTCTACATAAAAATGGTCTATTGACTTTCTCTTGTACTATTAAAATTAACAAAGTTACGGTGGCTAGAAGTTAAGGAATGATTTCTGAAATTAAAAAATAATAACTATCAGAAAAATGAATGAATTTTATAATTTTTTTTTTTCAATCTAATTTGAAAATGTAAAATATTGTCAACTATAAATATTTTAGAGAGAGGAAGAGTAATATTCAAAATTTAAATAATCACCCTGTAACTATAGTCAAAACTTTGAAACAAACGTTACACTATCTTTTCAGGGAAATAGATGTATTTTTTATTTTTTAATAAAAAAGTTATAACAATTTCACAAAGTGAACGTGATTTTTTATCCTTCTCATAAAACAAAATTTCGAAAGCAACTTTTCATTATTTTAAATAATCAATCGAATGGCACTGAAAAAATTGAAATCGTTATAATTTTTTTATTAAAAATTAAAAAAATATCTTTCTCTGAAAAGAAAGTTTACATTTTTTAGAGTAGATTGAAAAAAAAAAATTATAAAATTCATTCATTTTTCTGCTTTTTATTATTTTTTTAAATTTCTAAAATAATCCCTTAACTTCTAGTTTCCCTAACTCTGTTAATTTTAATAGTACAAGAAAAAGTCAATAGACCATTTTTATGTAGAATTGTATACTCTATAACTTTATAAGAAACTTTTTTTTACAACCTTTACCCCTTTCGAGTTATCTTTTACCCCTTTATTTTATCTTTTTTCACCATTGGCCGTGGGTTAAAAAAAATTACTGTCACTTAATTGGACTATTAGCTTATTTTGCGTGTAAATGTATTTCTAGATTGATATAATGCGTAAAATATCGGTAATATATCGAATTTTTAGTATTTTTTTTTTAGTTTATTGCAAAATTTGACGTGATAGAGTATTTTGGAGTTCAAATTCATGATCAGCGACCCCAAAGACATGTAAGATCCCTACTTCCGGGTGCCGATGAATTTAGGTTTGTGGTGNGAAATGATTTCAGAAATTAAAAAAATAATAACTATCAGAAAAATGAATGAATTTTATAATTTTTTTTTTCAATCTACTTTAAAAATGTAAAATATTGTCAACTATAAATATTTTAAAGAGAGGAAGAGTAATATTTAAAATTTAAATAATCACCCTGTAACTATAGTCAAAACTTTGACAGAAACGTGACTATCTTTACAGGGAAATAGATGTATTTTTTATTTTTTAATAAAAAAGTTATAACAATTTCACAAAGTGAACGTGATTTTTTATCTTTCTCATAAAACAAAATTTCGAAAGCACCTTTTCATTATTTAAATAATCAATCGAATGGCACTGAAAAAATTGTTTTAATGTTAAATCATCAATATTAACGATTAAAAAATTGAAATTGTTATAATTTTTTTATTAAAAATTAAAAAAATATCTATTTCTCTGAAAAGAAAGTTTACATTTTTTAGAGTAGATTGAAAAAAAAAATTATAAAATTCATTCATTTTTCTGCTTTTTATTATTTTTTTTAAATTTCTAAAATAATCCCTTAACTTCTAGTTTCCTTAACTCTGTTAATTTTAATAGTACAAGAAAAAGTCAATAGACCATTTTTATGTAGAATTGTATACTCTACAACTTTTATAAGAAACTATTTTTTACAACCTATACCCCTTTCGAGTTATCTTTTACCCCTTTATTTTATCTTTTTTCACACTTGGCCGTGGGTTAAAAAAAATTACTGTCACTTAATTGGACTATTAGCTTATTTTAATATATCGAATTTTTAGTCATTTTTTTTAGTTTATTGCAAAATTTGACGTGATAGAGTATTTTGGAGTTCAAATTTATGATCAGCGACCCCAAAGACATGTAAGATCCCTACTTCCGGGTGCCGATGAATTTAGGTTTGTGGTGCTGTATTGTCAGCATATTCAAAAATAAGTCAAACTACTAAATTTCAACATGCGATTTCTCAAAGACGAAAAATGATATTGGGATAAATTCAAGTTCGTTTTAAAGAGTAAATATAGTACTTTAAAAAAATTACCTATCCATGCAACATAACCTCAAATATGTAAAAAAATCGCGATTTTGGCACTTTTAGGTTAAGATATCACAAAAGCCAATTGAGAAATTTGGACCTCGGATTCGATACTAGAAAGAGTATTTTATTATTAGTAAAGATACTAAGTCGTGGTATGTATTCACAAATTTTTTGAAATAATTTTTCAAGTTATAACAGACTTTCGATATTTATTTCTTAGTTTTTGAGTTATAGCCAATACATGAAATTTTTGTTAAAAGGCTTACGGTTTTCGACTTAGATGTGAACGTTTTATTTTATTAAATAGAAACCATAGTTGACCATGACCTATTTTAAAAAGAGGGTGTTTTGCGCTTTATACAAATTTGTGATATTTATCTCAAAAAGTAAAATGTTATCCTCTTCCTTTTTTTTTAAATGGATCGACATGACAAAAAACAAATGCACTACTAAAAATAGAATTTGGTGTTATTCTTGTATATTCCTTCTTTTTCCAGTGGTTAGGTTCTA